GAATGTGGTTGCTGATCATGCAGATGTCCCTTGTTTGATTCCGTAGTCATGATGAACCGAACAGCTCACCATCAAAAACAGAAATACTGCACTTGCCAAGGCTTGTTTCTGGTGTGGTGGGGTAGCCTAGTGGTTAAAGCGTTCACTCATCACACCCAAGACCGGGTTCGATTCCCCACATGGGTACAATGTGTGTAGCCCATTTCTGGTGTCCCCTGCCGTGATATTGCTAGAATATTGCTAAAAGCGGCGTAAAACTAAACTCACTCACTCACTGATGTTTTTTGGTTATTCTGTAATATTGCTTACTGCAGTATCAAATTACTTCACATTGAGATATTACTTTACCCATTGTATCTGTGAGAACATGTTGCACACTGAGCACACAGCATCTTAGTTTTTCCAGGTGAATTTGTAAATATTGAGCAGTAAAAAATTTAAAATTTCAAAAATGTCATGACCATTTTAGTAAAATAAAATTTAAAAGATTATTTACATTATCACATCCACCATCAGAACCATGTATAAAACTACCACCATCACCATCAACATCAACGGCAACAGCACCACCACATCCTCACCACCACCACCTTTACCATCACCCAGCTATCATCCTTGCCATGGCTCTTGCCACCATCACCATCATCAGCACCACTTTAACAACCATCATCATCCCGCCACATCGTGCTGCCATCACCACCTCCATCATCAAACACTGCCATCACCTTACCATCTTGGCTACCACCACTTTGCCATCATTACCACCTCCATCATCAACACCAAACTCCATCATCTGCAACCAATGAACATCATCATCCATCATCATCTCCATCATCAATACCACCATCAACCACCACTTCATCAACACAGCCATCATCATCACATCAATGCCATCACATCAACATAACCACCATCAACCATCACCATCATCATCATCATCATCATCAATGCCATCCATCAACACAACCATCATCATCATCATCACCATCACCATCATCATACCATCATCAATCACCATCACCATCAACACAACATCATCAACACACACCATCACCTTGCCACCATCATCATCATCAATGCCATCACCATCAACACAACCACCATCAACACCACCATCACCATCAACACCACCACCATCAACACACCACCACCATCAACACACCACCACCATCATCAACACACCACCACCACCACCGCATCCAAGTGATACTCTCCACCCATCATGTCCTTGCACATGGCTGCATGCTGTCGTTTGTAGGTATCAGTCTGACGAGTTATTTTCACGCTGATCAATATAATCCTGTCTTTAAAATGCCCACAATAAACAAGGTGAATAGCCCATGTCTGACATCACACCCGCATCAAGATTAGCTTGCCCCGATCAATTTGCGTATTCTGATATTAGTTACACTTTGACTGTTATTCAACTTCAAAGGACACATACCTTTTTGTAAGTGTCATATAAACACGACAAATCAATTGATGTATTATCATAGTAACTGTCCTGGAATACTGCTTCAATTTGTATTTTTATCGCCCATTAGAAAAAATCATTTGCTAAGTGCCATTGGGCGAAATGAGCATGCTATTATGGAGGTTTGCTTCAAAATGAGAGGAGTCAAAAAGAGCAAAAATTGGATAGTTGTATTCGTGTTGGCGTGAAAAACATCATTGATGGCTTGAGGTCTTTGTTTGACCGTCTGCTTGATTAGATCTCACGTTTAAGTGGCTGTGATTGCCGTGTGTCGATAAATAGATCTAGAGACGCTTCGTGACATTGTTATTGTCTCCGTGGATCAATCAGATGAAAATTTAATGGCTATTAAGCTACGGATGATGATATCAAGTGTCCGTGATTGTCACAAGGCAGATTATGATGCCAGGCTTCTCGCGGCTTCCTGATTCGTTAATGACACCAAATTGCCGCACGATGCTCAACGACCAACAGATACAATCGCTGTCTGTCGCATCTTCGATGCTGCAATTCAGTGTAATACCTGCACTAGTTAACGACGCACTTTTGCTTTTGTGCGATTATGTTGTGCACTGTCATCTAATTTGTGGCCATTAGCGAACACGGCAAGCTTGAGTCTGAGGAATGATGAGACTGTAGCGTCCAGAAATATCTCTATCAATCAGTGTTCTCCTTTTTTACCGTTTGTACGCTACAGGGCTTGTCAATTACTATTCTTTATCATCGGAGAACAGACTCTACTCACTGCACAAAGGCAGAATCATTCATTGCAATATGAGAGATATTTTTGTCTCTGTTGTGAAATAAAACTTTTATAGCTCTTTAGCAATCAAACACATTAGGCATGTTGATTTCGTTAGAGTGATGTCTTCATTTGTATCTAAATGGAATCTATGAATTTGTTCGTTTGTGTGGAAGATTACATTAAGAAGATAAAGATTTTTTTAAGAAGTGTTGGCTTAGTAGAAGATATTTGCAGCTGGAATCTTTATAATTTTTTGTTGTTGCTTTTATCAATATTTCTTTTGAGAATGGAACATGAACCGACAGGCAGTGGTTGGAAATAATTTGAATGACAAGGCATTTATTCCTAACATAATGATCAAATTAATGATTATGATGATGAATTTTTCTTGAAGTTTGTTGAGAATATTTTCTGCATTAAAAATTGAAACTTAGATGTTGGTACAAGTGAGTAAGGATTCACACCCAACTCTGTCATGTTCCACTTCTATCACAGCCGGAAGACTAGTAATGGGCCTAACACTCCACCATGTTGGGAATCCAACCCGATTGAGGTTCAGGGGTTCAAATCCCATCTTTGTACAACTTGTAGGATGCATATCATGGCATATGTATCAAAGACAGTTAAATAAATCCCTTATTATTCTAATTTTCTTTTAATTCCATAATATTGTCCGATTTCTCTTTAATCTTTCATGAATTCATAGCTGAGTAATTCATCAAATAAATCAGACGATTTTTCTTCAAGTTACTTTTGATACAAACCCTGTCTGTCACAGCTGCTGGTTGTTTAGCACTGTCTTTATTTTCACGAATAATCGACTATTATATGTCATAATTTGAAAACATCACTCCACCAAGCATGGCCTTTCTTTATTGACCACATCAAACATGAGAAAGCCAAACCACAAGCTGTGTCGGACCATCTATAAAATACCAGTAAACCATAGGAACTGATAATACAGTTGATGTCCCGTATGGCCCCAGTAGCACCCTGTCCAATCGTAATATTACCCACCCTCCCGGGTAATACGACAATGATATCCCCCACTCGATCCCAAGTCGTCTGTCACCACTGTCGGTCTTGCCTGAATGCATGCACTATTAACCCACAGACCGTATCATCACGGTTGACATAACCGTCACATCCACCATAGCCAGGTGCCCTTACACCTATTCTTTCTAAGGATGGGTTTTATGAAGTAAAGGCCAGTTGCCATTCATAACCGAGTATTGTTTGTTGTGTCCCGTGTGTTACATAAAGGCAGATGGGTCGAGGTTTCTTTTTTGCTTTTTTACTATGCAGCTGCACCATCGGGTAGCAATAGTGTCCCCGTTGTCAGCCTTTCATTATCTCTCGTATTTATCTCCCAAATCTTACGAGTTCCTGATTGCGATTCCGTACCTCAGTACCCCCCGTTTAATGCACGAGGCCTGTTAAAGATTCTTTTTTCTTCCTGCTTGTCTTTACATCTGAATTCATCATTGTTACCCAAGTCGAGCCGTTCACGAGGTCTCGTGTCGCAGATCAACATTGTCTTCCTTAGTCTTTTCTGTCTTTAAGATTAAAGAGCACCCCATTGCTGTAGCCCTTGATGCGCGGACGGCTTTTTACGTGTATAGCGTTGTGTCTGTCTTTGTTTCTCAACAAGCAGTACGGGCAGGTGATCGCACTACCACACGCTCCAGCCTTCTTTGTTGAAGAGTTTTATATCCTTAAATGATGATTGATACCCATTTATTGTCCTATCTTTGCTCCACTCTTTCATATTTCTATCGTTCTTTATTGGGAAGTACCTCAGCTTCTTTAGAAGCATCGCAAGTGAATTGAAGCAAAGAGTCAGCGAGAAACAGCAGCCTTTGATTTGATTGTGTCATGACTCCTAATTTTGAGACTAACTTTTATTTGTTGTTAAAATAGCCAAATTACCAGTTTGAAACACTGAATCTGATAAAATAGTTTGGAAGAAAGGAACACAAAGAGAGAAAGAGTTTTATTAAATAGATTGCTGGTTCCCTGTAGGAAATGGTTATAATAAAAGGCATTAACCTTGGATAATGTCATAATGAATTCAAATCAGAAATCGTCAACTGTTGCCTCTCTTTCTTCTGTTGGAGTGAATATTTTTGGTTTGAAAAAGACAAACAGAAAAATAAATTATTTTTTTAACGTTTTATGTAGAGCATTTATTGACATTAATTCTTTCTTAAAGACATTGATATTAATGTGTTTTATCTCTCTTTGTCGAATACGACAAATACTGGTATGTTATAGAGCTATGAGAGAAGTTTCAGTTTGCAATACATGTATAACACATGTATGCTTTCAACTTACCGTTTTACATGATGGTCATGTGACACAATATACAGGTCATGACTATTTGTTTCTATTTCTCTACATTTTGCTCACCCAAGGGTTTAGTTACTATGGAAACATATTATGTCATCTATTGTATTATGATGTGACAGCATTCCAGTCTGGTGAAAAGGAAAGAGACTGCTTAAATTTATATGGGACTTTGATTTTTTAACATTTTATTTAACATTTTAAATGTTATTTGTTTCCAATTTCTTAAGGGTATTTGGTATTTTGATAATGAGAAATTTAACATTTGATAACTCTGGTTCACACTGTCAGTCCCAAAAAAAATTTCCAATCATCAGATATTTTTAATAAAATAAACAATATGAAAAGTACTATTTTCACACCCTGCCTGGAAAGTATGAGTCAGTATTTTTGGCAAAGATTATTTTTGTACTCATGACAACATGTCTGTTTCAGAGGAGGGTGATGCTGAATGTGAAAGTGTTGATGCCACAGACCACCACAAGATTTCCCACAATCCTGCTGACATGAAGTCCGAAAGCCTTCCCGTCTACATACCCGAAGATATCCCGATTCCAACAGACTTCGAACTCCGGGAATCACAGGTTTACCCTGGGCTAGGGGTATGGAGTCGTATTGACCTTCCGGCACATCAGAAAGTTGGGCCTTTTGCTGGTGTCCTCAAAGCCTCTGTCTCAGATCCGTCGTGTGCTTGGGAGGTAAGGCCATCTTCTATGTTTTGGGGGTGAATGAGCCAAAGAGGCCACAAATACTGTGCAGAGTTGTGTCCCTTAGTCATTCTGGGATCTGTTGACTGGGGGTTAGATTCTAAGATTCAGGGACCACTTGCACAAAATGATCTTAGCATGTAAGGTCTCTTCCATACTTAACATAGACTTACAGTAGTCTTAACATTATGATTGTTTTGTGCATGTGGTCCCAGATTTTTATCCTTGGTGTCAGCTTCAAATCTGTGATCAAGGCGTATTCAATTACCTAAGCAGAGTTATCTGCCTTGGTCATGCCAGGATCCTAATGAATCTCAACATGGTTATGCTGTCCAGGATGGACAAACTGATGATCGATGAAATGAGCAACAATTCAGAGATTGAGTGAGTGAGTGAGTTTAGTTTAATGCCACACTCAACAATATGCCAGCGATATGGTGGCAATCTGGAATAATCTTGACCAGACAATCCTGTGATCAACAGCATGAGCATCAATCTATGCAATTGGGATATAATGACATGTGTCAACCAAATCAGCAAGCCTGACCACCAAATCCTGTTAGTCGCCTCATGCGACAGAATTGAAGACCAATTCTAACCCGGATCTTCACGGGTGATAATGATCTTGGACCTGCATCACTCTGGGTTTTCCAATGACATGGCTGACATGCCATGAGTGAGTGAGTGAGCTAGGTTTTACGCTGCTTTTAGCAATATTCCAGCAATATCACAGCAGGGGACACCAGAAATGGGCTTCACACATTGAACCCATGTGGGGAATCGAACCCGGGTCTTCAGCGTGACGAGCGTACACCTTAGCCACTAGGCTACCCCACCGCCCCCTGACATACCATGATTAGACTGTATAATGTACATACTCACCCGCATTCTTCTGGTCAGAAGGTTTTGTTCAAAACTATGATTTTATCTTCATGTTTATTTGTCAAGATTTTCTTTTGTCCGTCATTGCAAACTTTGACATTGTGAAACTTTGTGGCAGACTCGTTTCTTCCCTTCAGAACCTGATATCCTCAAGTATTTGAAACAATTCACTGTCTATGTTACTGAGGGGGATTTTGTGGAGGTTTTTCGATGGAATGAAGTCCTGGGATTGTCATGCAATATTGCCCCAATTTATTGGATGACTTGACCTTGGTTCAGATAAAATAAACAAGGTGTATAAATCCTCATTTCACAAACACCCGACTCTGAAACTCGATACCTAGTGTTCTTTAAATACAGTATTCCTGAAATGAGCTGTTCTTTCATCACGTTTCAATGACATTTATCAAGGAATTCTACACAAACCCGCTTATATCAATAAACACGTTCTTGTCCATAGTAACAGTGATATTCTGATATCAACCTAGTGCACTTAACGACCTCGATGTGGTGTCGATGTTGATTCTGAATATCAAAACGGCTTCGGTACGATAGACACCCTTACAAAACTGACATAATATTTTGATGATGTGGATCCAGTTTTCTTTGACGATTAAGCCGCGATATTCTGTTCTCCATGCTTTATCAGTGCGACACGGGCCTATGAATAACTCAACACCAGGGTTTGTTCAGCCAATCATATGTTGTTGTCATCTCTGTATCGATGATAACGGTTCCCGGATACATCAAAGGTGTAACTGAACTAGCAATCATACAACAGATAGGATTATGTCCCCTGATGACAGTTTCTATTCAATTTGACCCCTGACCTAGTGTCTCCACTGAGCACCATATGCTTCGAAACAAATTAATCTCCTCGCATTATTTCGTTAATTGATTTTTCTGATAAATACCAAAGACCCAGCCTAATCACTGATGTTCTGCTGTCAGTTCCTTCACAACTCACCAAGAAGAAATCAGAGATGAAAATAGAAAATGACACTTGTGAAAATTATCCTGTAAGACATCAATATTTAATTTCAATTGCTGAAATGAAAATAGCCCGGAGCAAGTGATTTGTTAAATATTTGGAACCAATGTTATGAAGAAGTTGATGTTTAATCATGTGTAAGAATTAAAAATGACAATTTTGTGTGTGAAAATTATCCTGTTTGAAAAACCTGATATTTAATGTGAATGGCTGTAAAGAAACTAGCTTAAAGCAAGAGATATATGCCATATTTGATGATGTAATGAAAATATTTCATATATACCATTCCTGAAAATGATTACATGAGAAAAAAAAAATTTTGTTCAATAAATATTTTGTTTTAATAAAGGGAGAAAAATCTAGGGGTTTTTTCAATATTTGCCAAAATTTTCTATATGCTTTTGATGGCTATTTTTCTATTCATTCTCAAAAATTCAAATGTTCCCAAAATTTGTTTAATTGATATAATTTGTGACAGTTTCTCACCACTGAATGTGTAAAATGCTAAATTGATTTTATTATTTAAAACAGGACACATTGTGACAATTACGGTAATGGTTTACACTCCTTTTGTTTCTGATATAATTTCGCATTTATGATGATGTTATCAATACAACCGATTATGTAGTTGACCAGTGGTTAGCCGTTAGTGCCCCGAGTTGATTACGGAGGCTTCGTTAAGTGTGCGACCTGTGACCTCTGATGGTCAGCGCAGAGTGAGTGGCGACAACGACATAATTATGATGGATGGTATAATATCAGTAGTTTGTCAGTGTCACTGACACTGCTGACCATCGGGTAAAATTAAATCAATTTTCTCAATTGACAAGCCATAAATTATAAGTGCCAAATTTCCTAATTTTCATCTGAGATATTTATTTTGTGGATGCATATTTCTGTGTTTGTAATGTAAATTTGAGTAGCTTTGATACTCTTTTAACTTCGGCCATGATATTGGTTTTGTGATTACACTTTAGCCTCACAGGCTCATTAAAAACTATGACAGCATGTAAACAGGCAGAAAATTGTGTGAATATAAGAGGAAGGTGCATTAAAAAGCTATTTGCCCAACTGCATGTTTGTCCCGACTTTGTAAATAAATCTCTTTCTTCATGCTGACTATATACAAAAAGTGTTTTAACTTTAATCTGGTTGGGCAGGTGAAAATTTAACAATTCATCCGATGGTGATAACTTTTGTATTGTATCGTGATAACCAGTCATTGTATACTGAAGAAGAATAGTTGTATGACGATAGCACTTTAACCCTGTCAAACCAATAATAATTGTCCAAATAATGTCCATGATTTCTAAACTTAGGCTCAGGATAAAAAGTTATCTCAAACTTCCTTTCAGTTATTTTGGGTGTATATTCATATCTGATTTCTGATTGGCTATTTGTTTGTGAAACCAACTGTGATTGGTCAATAGTTGGCTCTTAGTTTGTCATCATTCACAAGTTTGGGCTGTTCCTTGTAAAAGCATGGGAACCGAATTCTGACAAACACGCAAATTTGTCTGAATTGTGTAAAGTTGAGTTGGTGGTTGTTCGTGAATGATCTCGAGTTGACACAGGCGACGCAAGGTTTGATATTACAACACTAGAATGTGATCCGGCAGCGGTGAGGACGACGGTACGGTAACATCATTGACTATCTGCCGATGTGTTATCGACACATTTAACTTGAATAAAGAAAAGGTTTAGCTGAATTTGCAGTAGACTTAGCCTCAGATTTTACTTGTCTATCGGCAGAGACTGGGAACAGGGATGACCTGTTGACTCAGACAGACAGACAAACAGACAGACAGGTTGACAAGCTGGAAAAATACAAAGCATGTTAATCTGTCAAACTGTTGTATTGAAGGAGGAATTGTTCTAACATATCCTTTTTAATTTATCTTGTTATGAGGATCTCCTGTCTGGCTTTTTCACACATTTCTCGGGGGTGAGGGGGTGGGGGTCCATGTGCGTGTTTTGGGGAGAGTTAGGGTAGTGTTGTGGTTAATGCAGACCTGGGTTCGACACCTGACTGGTTGCAATGTATTAAGTTCTTGTCCCATGTGAAGAAATCTACAGCAGTGTTAAGTCTTGTACTCACTCACTCACTCCACTCCACTCCACTCCACTCCACTCCACTCCACTCCACTCCACTCCACTCCACTCCACTCCACTCCACTCCACTCCACTCCACTCCACTCCACTCCACTCCAAAAGTCATACATATACTATGAATTCAAATATTTCAGAAGCATTCCTATGTCATATTAACCAAAGTGATAGAAATAGAAGTTATTTGTTTATTAGTTTTCAGGTAAACATTATTTCTCTTTCTGATTTTTAACCCTCAAGATAACATCACATCCATATCTACAGATAACCACCCAATATACTGCTGTTGCGTTTACCTTGCCGAGCCCCGAGTCCAATATTGGCATTCTGATATGCCTGTTTATGTAGTGTACGTTTTACTTTTCAAAGCCTCCTAACACAGTCTATATATGTCTGTCATACCACTAACCCCAAGCACAGTGTATTTGCCTTGTAACGAGACATGCGAAGAAAATCACTACCACATTGCAAGATCCAAACCACCCATGTTGTCGACCCGCCCAGTGCTCCCCCGTACGGTGCCCAGAGCTTTCTCTACAAGGTCCTAGAAGGGATAGAACATTGACTGTATGTATTGTCCCGAATACACCCATTTATGTGTGTGTATCCTGCATGGAGAAGTCATCGACTTGCCGAAATGTCATCTAATATTTGTTTGGTCTCGTTTATCTGTCCCTGTTGGTGATAATTCCTTCCAAGCGGTTGCCAGATATCAGAGATGGAATTTGTTGACTTTTGTCTTTTTCATGCATGGTTTTTGAGTATTATACTTTAAAATCTTGGCGACTAATTCTCGATGCTAGGAGGGAAGTCATTGCTTTAAGACACGTCAGGTTTTTTGTTTGAGACTGCGCCCCGTGCACCCGTGGTAAGGTTTGCTTAAAGCGTAGAGAAGAATTTGATTGTTTGCTGACAGATCTGCGGCTTATTTGTCGTGTGTGGAGAGTTACTGAGATCTACAAGATAAGGCATTCTACAGTTCACAGGTATACGAACTGTCCTCGTGTGT